AAACCCACGATGGGCTTTACTCCTAAACGAATGCCTTGTCTGATACCCCCAGTAGCGCTTTTTAAAAAGTGGAGTTAAAGGGTTAGTTGAATTGAGTTTTTTAAGTGATGAAATGATACTTTAACACCTGAGTTTTAGATTGCATTATTCTTATTTCCTAAAAACCTGGACCCTTGGGGATCAATAGAAAAGCTATTTGGGGGAGGGTACGTACCTACTTATTACCAAGAACTTTCTCAGAAGCTTGAGTTCTCTTAGGTCTTGACAAAGTGGATCTTCCAGCTTCGTTGTCTTAATGACACAACCTGACGGTCACTCTTACCTCCCAGGTGACAAGTTAGCCATCTTGCTCCCCCTAGTGGAGTTGTAACTCTACCTCAAAGTTTAAGAATTCTCTGTCAATACACATTTGATGCAGGGTCTTATTTTTAGGAAATCAGATATTTTCCCAATTTATTTTCAAAGACTGACAATAAAATAAAACAGTATTGCATCGGAGGGACTGGTACGGGATGTGGGTAGAGAACGGGGCCTTTGGTGATGAGTTTTCAGTTCCTAGTGTTGGCAAGACTAGCTGTATGATTGATAGTGGCTGCTGAATTCAAGGGGCCTTTCTGCTCTGCACTTCTGTCTTAGAGGGATCCAGTGCCATCAGCCTGGCAGATGGTCACCTCAAGAAGGCAGCCGTCAACACCCCTGGAAGAGACAGTGGGGTCAAGGCAAACACTGTGATATATATAGTGGTTCCAAATTAATAGTCAACAGAGTTTAAGTATTTGACACTTATGAGCAAGAATATTATAATTAGAATATTCCCCCTTTCTTAAAATCATGTAATAGAGGCAGTATTTAGATGTATCTTTTTTCCCCTAAATATTTATTTTCAGGGTAAGTATTTATTTAGGGAGAAATAAAGCAGCAAGATTGGATTAAAATCCTAACAGAAAGGAATGCCAAAGTGCTCTCTAGGTATGTTTTATTTGGGAGGGTGAAGAAAAAAAAGAAACACCCATAATGTGGTGTTTTTTTTTTTTTTTTTAATATTACTTGCTAAGGAGTCATAGTAATTTAGTTCAAGAATTACATCTAAGCAAACACACAGCATCTGTCTAACAAAGCACGTATCTGTGAAGTCGTGATTTGGAATCTCATGACGCTTGGATTCACCATCGTGGAGACAGTGATGTTGCCGCAGTGGTGACCTGTCCCTGCCGGGGCCAGAGAGCTCCATCGAGCAAGACTCTGGGCCTTGGAGAACAGGCGCTTTTCTTTTCCTCAGGGAGTGTGAGGGATTTATATGTGAATCGACGTGCATCTCGGTGTCTATGTGCACGAGTGTCAGTACAGTTATGTATATGTGTGGGAAGATGCATGGACAGGTGGGTGTATGTGTGTCCAGATGTGACTGCGGGACTCGAAGAGTTGCTTCTTCCCAATGGATGCTAGAAATCCTGTGCATTGACAATACTCTGTGAAGCCGCTTTTAGCAGAGCTAGGCCCAGAGGTGTTGGGCACACGTGCACACCATTTCTGCTGGGAATTCTGTGCATCCATGATGCCCTTCAAAACGGGCTCAGTGACTGGGCTTGGAGGTCCTTGGGGTGCTCGTTGCCGCGGGGCTGTGCCGGCCTTCCTTGTCTGGCAGCTTTGTCCGGCGGCTCTCCTTGGGGACATTCCAGCCGTAGCCGAGAACCCTTGTCTTTCTTGAGAAGCAGGAGGACTAAGGCAAGAGTATCTCTGTGCATTCCTTACACTCGTGAGTGACGAGAGGCTTTGTAACTAGCCGTGTTTCCTTGAAGTGACCAACTAGGGACACGTAAGTCATTGAGATGGGTGTCTTCTCAACCGTTAATTGATCACTGTTGACTTAACACTAAAGTCTCGTCAGACTCTGCCCCTGCTTGTCATCTAACTCATAGGGCTGCTGGGTTTGTTGTTTTCTTTTCAGGTTCAAAAAGGCAGAAAAGTACGCGCGAGCATTTGGCCATGAGCGAAGCAGATGGGGGATTATGGAACAGAGAAACAAGTTTGCATGTTGTTGTTAAAATCCTGAGTTAGTGTCTGATTCTGTTGTGTTTTGTTTTTTGTTTTTTTAAATGAAATATGGTCCTTGCCATGGGGCAGATAACCCAGAGACTTGGTTTTCGCAGGTGGTCGGTCAGAAGTGTGTGGAAGGATCTTCTTGTCTTTAGGCAGATCAACAAGCTGACACCCAACTAGTAGAAAACTCGCTTTCTTTTCGAGACTTCTTTCCCGCTCTTTAACTGTTGGCAATTTGAGAAACTCTTTGAATCGTACACCTTAGCAAGAAGGCAAAACTGAGAGTATTTGGGACAAAAGAAAGATACATTTGTCTACTTGCTAGAAACTTTTGTGGCAGGGGGAAAAACTGCAGAAAAATTCCTGACATATTGAAAAATTACCTGCAACTTAACATTTTTATTTTTTATTTCATTTATTTGTCTTTGGGGGGGGCGGGCGCAGAGGGAGAGGGTGAGAGAGACTTTTAAGCAGGTTCAATGCCTAGCACAGAGCCTTGATCTCATGATCTCATGACCCTGAGATCATGACCTGAGCCAAAATTAAGAGTCAGATGTTTAACCAACTGAGCCACCTAGATGCCCCTGCAACTTAGTGTTTTTAATGCAGTGTTTCCTCAAGGAGTCTTACTATAGTCTACTTACGTTATACCCGCAAATACTTACTTACCCACAAGTACTTACATTGGTACCCGCAAATAACAAGAAACACCATCAGAACCTATAAGAAAGGCCACAGGAGAGTAAAAAAGAGAAAAGAAAATTTATAGACATGATGACTACTGGGATTCTCATGTGGAAGGCACAGGGAGACATTGAGGCAGGTGATGCTGATGGTTTTACCTTCGCCCAGTGTTCTGAGAGTTAAGTGAGCATTTATTAAAAATAGATTCACAAGTACCCGCCCCAGATAGGATAACTCAGAATCTCCAGGGAAGCGGTGTAGGAACATTGTTTTTTTAAAAATTTTTTTTTAAGATTTTTTTTTAATTTATTTGACAGAGATCACAAATAGGCAGAGAGGCAGGCAGAGAGAGAGAGGAAGGCAAGCAGGCTCCCTGCTGAGCAGAGAGCCCGATGCGGGGCGCGATCCCAGGACCCTGAGATCATGACCCGAGCCGAAGGCAGAGGCCTTAACCCACTGAGCCACCCAGGTGCCCCTAGGAACATTGTTTTAACAAGCATCTCAGGTGATTCTTACGGTCAGACACATCTGGGAAACTGCTGTCATCTGATTGCTGACTAGAACTACTGTAAAGGGGGCGCCTGTGTGGCTTGGTCAGTTGAGCGTCTGACTTTTGATTTTGTCTCAGGTCATGATCTTGATCATGAGATCGAGCCCCACATCAGGCTCTGCCCTGGGTGTGTCACCTGCTTAAGATTCTCTCTCTCCCTCTGCTCCTTGCACTCTATCTCTACCAAACCAAACCAAACCAAACAAAGCAAAAAACGAAACAAAAAAAAATCGAACCCATTGTAAAGTATTTCTAGAAGGTGTGAGTGTGTGTTGTGTGTGTAGTTGACAAAGTTTTTAAAGTTTGGAAAAACAATTGTCAAATTCTACATTAGCAGTGTTAAGCATTTCGTAATAAATATATCTGTTATTTGCGTCGGGTTGTACGGTTACAGACGGTTTTCCCGCGTCTCTTCTCATTTCTTCCTAGCAGCAATCCTGTAAGGGCTTGAACAGCAAGGACCATGCGTACTCCCGGACTGCACATGGGAGGGGCTCAGCATGTAGCCGGCGGCCGTGGAGCTGGCTTTGAACGGGGCTCTTCACCACATGGGGCGAGCCCAACATCAAACCCAGAGCCCACAGCTTGTCCTCTTTTACCCCACTCTGGTCACCTTGTTGATAGCAGCATTTCCAAGATATCAGGTTTTTTTGTGTGTCCTCACCTTTGCACACCCTGATCCCTGTGCCTGGAATGCCTTTCCTACCCTGTTAGCAAACTTACACTCATTCATTCAAGTGCCTTCCGTGAAGCTTTTCTAGATATGCTCTTCTCCTCACCCCACCTACCCTTCAAACAGAGCTAGTTTCTCTCTCTCTTTTTTCAAGTTTTTATTTATTTATTTGACAGAGAGTGAGCGAGAGAGAGCAAATGCACAAGCAGGGGAGCGGCAGGCAGAGAGGGAGGGAGACCAGGCTCTCCAGTAAGCAGGGAGCCCAATGCGGGCTCGAACCCAGGACCCTGGGATCGTGACCTGAGCGAAAGGCAGATGCTTAACTGACTGAGCCATCCAGGTGCCCCAGAGCTAGTCTCTCTTTCAGCTGTGTTTCCATCACGCTTTGTAAATCTTTTCAATCTCTTCTGGGTCTTGTGTAAGGTAGGTGAGTTCAATATAAGTGCTCACTGGTATTCCCCTCATGATCCCCACCCCGCCATTATACCACTTACTTTGTGCAAACAGTGGGATATAGTGACATCGGAAACACTCAGTGCCTTTAGTGTTGGCTAAAGCTGTGGGAAGCATTTGAGAATGATTTCAAGGGCTTTCCAAACATTGACAAAGAAGTGTTCAGGAGGCCAGAAACTTGGCTATTAACATCCACTAGAATGGAATTGTCTGGGGGTACCAGGGTACAACGGGTCTAACGAGAAGTCGAAAACAATGGGGACTGTACATTCAAAACTGCAGATCTGGGAATTTCCTTGATGGGAAACTTAAGGGTGCTTCAAGGATGTCTTCATTTATGGTTGAGTTTTATGTCATACTCCTAGCCCCAGGCTAGAGATGACTGCTATGGCTTTCAAGTTGTGTTACGGTTATTTCTTGATGCAAATATTTCCCCCACTAGCCCTCTAGTGAGGGTGAGTCTGAGCCGTATTCATCTTTGTCTGCCAGTTGATAATTGTTGAATCAACTTTCTGGGAACCAGTCTTAGAGCTGTCTGCATCTGAATACCATCAAATATGTGTCATTGTAGTTCTAATTCAAATTCTCCTGTGTTTGCAGCCCCCACTGGTCCAGGCAATCTTCAGCGGTGACCCAGAGGAGATACGGACGCTCATCCACAAAACCGAAGATGTGAATGCTCTGGTAGGCGACGTCAGGGCTTTTCCTGCTCGGGCCCTCTTAGCCGTTCTCTACCGTAGCCCTCTTTGGTATCTGGTGAAAGCTCTGGACTGGTGCTCAGAATTCTGTTTTTAAGTCCACAAAGTAAAATACATGTGGTTACAGTGGAAATCGGGCATATATAAATACAGATATCAAAATACGAAATATCAAATTCGTGATATAATCACATCTGTGTGCTTCTCCATTAGCACATTTAAATAGCAAGATGTGGCAGAAGATCTAATAATGAGCATCATTTCAGACCAGCGATGAGCATGATCGATATTTTGTGTTCTCTGTGGCCACCCTAGTGTGGTATGAACATACCTGTGATTTCCACTGGGGACTGAGTGACAGTTACCGGTGACACTCATGAGACTGGTTGCCTGCCTTCATGATAGAAGGGAATGTGAAATTTCCATCGGAAAGTAGTAAAAATAAAGAGGTCCTGTTTTTGCCCCCAGAGCCTCTGCCTTACAGCAGGGCTTGACAGACTATGGTCTGGCACTGGTTTTTGCCAGCGAAGAATGGTCTTCATTTGTTAAATGACTGGAAAAAAAACAAAAACGAAAAGAGGAATAATATTTTGTGACATGTGTAAATTACATGACATTCAGATTTCAATGTCAATAAGTGAAATCCCGTTGGCACTCGACCGTGGCTGTTTTCCCGCCACAACAGCAGAGTTGAGTAGAGATTAATGACAGAGACTGTATGTGGCCCAGGAAGGCAAAAATATTTATTACCTTTAGAGGGAAAGTTTGCTGACCTCTGCCCTAGAGGATCCATGAACCTGCGACCAGTAGGTGAGCTTGGCCTCCTGTGTGTAACTGAAATCATACGTAACACACATGTGATTGCGGACATGTGTATCTTCTGTGAACAAGTAAAGGCATTTCATCGTATTCTTAAAGGGGTGTGTGGTCCCCAGAAGGTTAAGAGCCCCCAGATCAGGAAGTTCTTGAGATAAACAAATCGGCAATGAGGAAAAGTGAAAAGAGTTAGTCAATAATTTACCCTTTTAATCGTTTCCTCGACCCAGATCGAACAAGCAATTCTATGCAGTACACACTACTAATCTCTCAGTGTTAAGTCAGTTACCTCAAGGCCGTAGTCCATGGGGAGAGGCGCTGCCTTTGAAGTCTCTAGGGTTCGCTGGAACAGCAGAGAGAGTCAAACACATGTGCAGAAGAAGGGCTTGGCCCCAGGGACTTGTGACTTGTGTCGGAGGTGGGGTCTCTCCGCTGGGCTCAAGGCTTTATTCGGGAGGGTCAGAGGGCGGGCAGGTGCGGCTTTTGGAAAAAGCTTTTGGCAGCCTCTCCCCGGCTGGCGCTGAACCGGCGGGGTGGTGTTTCAGGATGTTTGTGCAAGGGAAGCGCAGATGAGGCCCGGCCAGGGCTCCTGGAGGAGGCAGCGGGGCGTTTGTCCAGAGCCCGTGCGGCGTGGCGCGGACTGCGGAGAGGAGCCGAGGCAGGCCCGCTGACTGCCAGGGTGTCCTGCCGTCCCTGCCATTCGCCGGCCTGTTTGGTGGCTGTGGCCCGAGTCCAGGCGAGCCCGAGGCAACGTTTCAGTTACTGTCTTCTCCTGAGGATGATGAGCAAACAGCACTTTTGTTCAGTCAAACATGCCGGGAAAGACGGCACTGTCCTCTGAAGGGCCTTTATGTCTCCTTAGGAAGGTGACAAGTGGTTGCTGGCTGGTACGGGTTGGGAAAGCTTAACTTTAGTTGTAACCTCGCTGTATCACTGAGCCTGCTAGGTTAACTGCAGTAACACGTAGACCCGGATGCCCGGTTGCTCAAACATGGGAGAAGCTTGGTTCTCTTGTGACCAGACTGGAGCCGTGGCTCTTTTCCACATGGGGTCCCAGGTATCAACACGTAGCTTCTAGCCCAGGAGGCTCATCTTCAGTCCAGCCTGCCAGAAGGGGAAGAAGGAGCATGGACGATCTGAGGAGGATTTTTATGGATCGTCTTGGGAGTGGCACAGTCACTTGCGCACACAACCCGACGACCAGAACTTCGTTCCATGCCGCATCTAACTGCAAGGGGTTGTGAAATTTGTACAGCTGTGTCCCCAGAGACTGGAGAACATGAATAGTTAGCAACCTTGGCCACAGCAAGTTTTGGTACTACAGAATTTTAGGGAATTCAAGCCATAACACTTACTTATCTTTTAAGACTCATTTAAGAGTAATTTACCCATTTAAGAGTAATTTACCGAATTCGGGCCTAGCGCTGGGTGCTAGGGATACAGCGGTGAGAAGGTTGCTCTCACCCTCATGGAGCTCACGAGAGGGCAGAGAATCAACAGCGAGAAATCATACTGGCTGCCATTTTGAAAGGAAAAATGCGGGCCCTGTTAGGGGCACAGGTTAATCATGAGGGGCTGAGGAAGCGGTGCGCACACTGACCCCTCGGGGGCCGTTGTGGGGTTTGGTGTGTGGGCTTTCAGGTGGGTCAGTGTGGGTGGGGGGTGGGGGAGGAAGAGCATTACAAGAAGGAAAGCCTGACTTCCTCCCGGTGCTGGTGTGGCTCCATCGGGGCCCAGCGCCTTCCTCCGCTGTCTCCTCTGTAGACTCCGTCTTCATAGCCCCCTTCTCCTTCCCTCAGGTGAGTGTAAAGAACCTCATTTGCCCCCCTGCTCTCTGGCAGGTCTGTTGGAGACAGTGAGCTGTTCTCTTGACGTCATGCTTTGCTTTTGTCCACGCTTCTTTGGATCAGTAGTGCTGACTGTCGCTGGGGGCGTCTTAGGCAATGTGGGGAAAGCTACCGTTGGCCCAGGGCGTCTGGAGATGGAAGGCGAATAAGGATTAGCTACCCAGGCCTGGAGCTTCCCTTCAGGAGGGAAGAGAGGCCACTCACCTGCACGTTTAAATGTCAAGGAAGGGAAACAAATAATGGCGCGGCCTCCTGTTAACGGGAGGACACGATGTGTCTTCCTCCCTTCTCACCCTTTGCTTTCTTTCTTTCTTTCTTTCTTTCTTTTTTTAAAAGATTTTATTTATTTATTTGACAGACAGAGATCACAAGTAGGCAGAGAGGCAGGCAGAGAGAGAGGAGGAAGCAGGCTCCCTGCAGAGCAGAGAGCCCGATGTGGGGCTCCATCCCAGGACTCTGAGATCATGACCTGAGCCGAAGGCAGAGGCTTTAACCCACTGAGCCACCCAGGCGCCCTTTGCTTTCTTTCTTTAGCTGGATTTATTTTTCTTATTTGTCCTAGGTTCTGATTTTTTTTTTTTTTTTTTTTTTTTTTGCTTTCTTTTTTCTTCCCTACCTTCCTGTGTCTTTCGATCACCTTTGATGAAGTGATCCTGATACGGAAAGTGATCTCCTTCAGCTTCGCCTCTCTGTTTTTCTGAACTTTATTCCCTGCTGGCAGCATTCATGAACTGTGTGTCATCCAAACGAAGTTTTCAACCCATTGATATTGATGCTTTTTCTCACTTCTCCACTGTTCCCATCCCATCTGCCCTTTCAGACCTGTTCTTTCCTCCATTGTGTCGTCCTAATTCTTGTTTCCCTTCTGCTACCTCTTCTGCCACCTCCCTGCCCAGCCAGAGAAACCTACTTCCGCTTTCACCTCCCAGAACTCAGCGAACCTCGCCGGACCCTTCACTGGAGCTGGTTACTTCTGAGAGACTGTGCGCTGGATACGGGGTGGCTGTGTTTTTCATTCTCTCCTGCTCCGTGGCCCAGTCCAGTCTTCGCAGCACATGTGGAGTGAATGACCAAACCTTGCTTCATTACTCATGTTGAGCATTTTGTGGTGGCCCACTTTTCGTTTCTGCCAATGAAAACACATTATCCACTAGTGTCCAGATTGGTTAGTGTCCCTCAGGTCTCAGTTATAAGACTGAAAGTTCTCTTCATAAGACTGAAAATCTGTAGTTGGATTTGAGGAGCCAGTGAACAATCAGGAAGGGCACTGAGTCTTCCTGTGGTTTCTCTGGCTGGCGGCATGCCCAGGCCTGGAAATGTGGGAAGACAGTTGTATACTCTGAGAAATCCATTTAAACTGATCTACACGTGGTCTATTTTAGGAGGCTCTATCAGACTAACAAGTTGAGCTCGAGGTAGAGTATCTGAGTTCAAAATGAATTCTGAAAACCAAAATTTGAACTCAGTAATGTCACTTTTGGGATTATGCTATGAGAACATGACACCAACAGACAGTTGTACAGTGCCATACTGGAATGGGGACAGAGATAATTAGGGCCTGTCATTGGGGAGTGGTGAAGACAGGGAAGGAACCATTCCTAGTGATGTTTTAGATCTGGGAAGGACGAGAGAACTACCTCAAATAGTTCAAATGTTGTCAGGTTCAATGGAACTAGACTTACCGTTATGTCGGTGGCTGTAAACTACAGATAATATTTCCAGCTCAAAATAGAAGAAATAACTTAATGGACAGGGACCTATACAAAGAAGTAATGAGCTGACTTGACCAGTAAGATACTCCCCGGAAGACCACTAGACTGGCGGATCTGAAGGAGACGGATTGTAGCACATGGTCTACTCTCCTACCTTGTGCCCTGACCCGTCACTGCTAATGGTTTATGACAGGTTTTTTTCTCCGAGTCTTAAAAGACCAAAATTTCTTTTTAGGACAGCGCTATTAAATTGGAGTTGGCTTTTAAATAGAAACCTCCTTCCCATGCCTGGACTAGGTGATGTTTAAAGTCTTTTAACAACTGTGAAGGACTACAACTCCAAGATTTGTAAGTCTCGTATGATAGCATATACCCGTGGTATTTGTTTCTTTTTTAAAGTATCATTAACAGTTATGAATACACACACACACACACACACACACACACACACACACACACACAACCATTCTCATACCAAAGAAAATCAATAATAATTTGTTGGTATCTTCTAATACCTGGTGTATATTCAATTTTATTTTGTCCCTATAGCTTCAAACACTTTTTTTTCTTTATAGTTGGGCTGTCCCCAAGTTTATTATTTTACTCCATCT